CTTGTGCTTGCAAGGCAGGCGCGGAACCACTGAGCTAAATTCCCGGCCCAGTATATTGCCTTACATTTGAAAAACAAATCCGGAAGACAACGTAATCCCTATAGACGAAACTGTCATTGCCTGGATAAAATAATCTGCTCATATAATTTAATGACCCCTCCCGTACTTCCTGTAACGTAAACTATCAAATTTTAGGTTTTAGGATAAAATCCAATGCTCAGAAACATTAAAACAATTCGTCCTTTATTGTGCCTTTTAATAGAAGGGTTTAGGGAGTAAGTTCCAGACTGCAAATCGCGGGTGGGAGGAGTCGAAACACCCAGTTTGGAGAAGCTTTTAGAACTCAGTCATTGGCCCAGGCACCTTTCCAGTACCAGGTAACACGCGGTCGCTCTCGCCAAATTCAAAGGACTGGATTGATTAAGGGGCGGGGCCTCCCTGGGGGTAAGATGGCGGCGCGCGACGCTCTGGGCTGCTTGGGTCCCTACTCGGTATCAGGAAGTCCTCTGGCCTTCGGTTTAGGAAGCGGAAGTAAAGGGGTTGGCAGTTGGGCTGTTTCTCTCAGTGACCGGCTCGGGAGTCGAGCCGCGGGAAAGGCGCGTGTCGGCCTCTCACTGGCGCAGCCTTCGTCGCCGCCGCCGCCGCCGCCCCGCCCCGGCGTTGTCGCAGGCGCTGTAGTGGACAGTGTGCGGCCCCGGCATGGGCAGCGAGGGGTACGCGAGCGGTGCTCCTGTCGCGGTTGCGCGGCCGGTGACAGGTACCCGGGGGTGGTGTTGGGAGGCCTTGTTGGTAGAAAGAGGGTCTGGCACGTCAGACGACCCTGTGCCCAGGTCACCTTGAGCTTCCGTCTCTGCCCTCGGTTTCCCCTCGCGAGTCAGCTCTTCGGCAGCTCCCCAAGTTGTCCTTAGTGGTCTTCCCCTCGAGGTGGCGAGTTCTCAGGGTGGCTGCGGGCAGTCCTCAGCGGTCTCGAGCCGTCTTTGAGGAGCTTTGAGACCCATGTGTCCTAGTGCAGAAGGGAAGTTCCTTAACGTTAAGTTAGACCGAGCCTGACCCTAAGTAGTATAAGAACCAGCACTTAGCAAGAGTGATTGGAGAACTGCTTTGTCCTTATATAGGTTTCTATTTTCCCTAAATGAATTCAGGTGATACATATTAGTTGCAGTTTTCATTAATGCTGGGATCTGTTGGCCGGGAATTGGAAGATCCGGTTTCATTTTTAGTTTGGTTTTTTTTGCGGTACCAGGGATCGAACTCAGGACCTAGCACTTGCGAGGCAGGCACGGCGCCTCTGAGCTAAATCCCCGGCCCCTTATACGGTTTCATTTTTAGTGTGGGACCTGGCAGAAGAATAAGATCTTCATACATCACCTAAAGTTATGGATGTGAAGTGTCCTTGTTTGTTTGTTGAAAGCGCTGGCTTCTTTAGTATTTGCTGCCATATTTGAGAAGGAGCATATTTTGTTCATTCCAAGACCTGGGATCTTATGGCTTAATGCTCTCTGGAATCATTCATTGGTGCACTTGCTATCCAACTTTATATAAGTGCCCTCTTTTCTTGAAATATCTTTTACACTGGCAGACATTTGAACACTTATTTTATTTTATTCTATTTTGAGACAAAGCTCACTATGCAGCCCAGGCTAGCCTCACATTTGGGGGTGATCCTCCCGCCTCAGCCTCCCAAATGCTGGGATCACATGCGTGCACCACTAGGCCTGGCTTGCACACATTTTAAATATGTAGTTAATGCCACAGAACTAGAGATGATGATAGCCTTTCCTCTTGACTGGCTTTTCATACTCTTAGCTGAAACCAAATTTATTTAAGGAAGTGAACAGAATACTTTTTTTTTTTTTTTTTGGTACTGGGCATTGAACTTGGGACCTTGGGCTTTTGAGGCAGGTGGTGGAACCACTGAGCTAAATCCCTGGCCCTGGAATACTTTCAAGAAGGGAGAATACTCGAGACTATGACGAAAATTCACTTGGAAGATTTCTGTAGTTACTTGATCATTTTTATCCCAGATATATGGTAACTAGCTGAAATCAGGTGTATGTGGTTCACAGCAAATGGTTTTACTAATATGGATAAGTATATATTAGGTTTAGTTAGTTGAGAAGTTAATTTCTCAAAAAGGGTGCTTTCTAATATTTTCTCACTAGTATATGTTGAAACTCAAGTACACATTTATAAACTTGCAGATTGCATGTTGTTTTCAAAGAATTTGTTAGCTCCTGAGTTTAAAAATGAAAGAAGAAAATGTCAATGACTTTGATTTTAGAATCATTGTGTCTGTTTCCCCAAAAGTGAAAAGCATTTACCACATGTAATTTTTGTTCATCTTTTCTGTATCTTACTGTAGATAAATAAGCAAGGAATAATATTTTAATTTAAACATACTAGAAACTTACAGGTAAGGTTTTGACCAGTTTACCATTAGTTGATACAGTTGGGCCTAGAACTTGTTAAAGAACGTTTTATGTGTCATGCTACTGGCCTTGTGCCCATGATTATGGCGTGCTGCTACAGGGCACAGTGTGACAGCTGTTATCATCCATACTAGTCATTTAGGACCACTAGTGTCAGAATGATAAGGGACCTCATAAAATGAAGATATTGTATCCTCAAACAAGACCCCTTCAGTGAAGTTCTTACAGTTTCTCTGGACAGCCCTTTTCTCTGTTATTCCCTGTGGGATCAAGAATGTGGGGTCAGGGTGGCAAAGCTCTTGCTCCTCCTCTTCCTCCCCACTCTCCTCAACTCTGGGGATTAGACCCAAGGCCTTCCAACTGAGCTGCATTTAGAGGGCTTATTTATTTATTTATTTATTTAATTTTAAAATTTGAGACAGTGGCTCACTAGGTCACTGTGTACCCTAGGCCAGGCTCATGTGAGTGCTGAGATAACAGGAGTGTGCCACCAAAAGCTCTTTAATGTCCACTTGTTCTCTTCTGGAGTGGTGCTATACCCCAGTTTGAGAATATACACTGTAGGGCCGAGGATTTAGCTCAGCGGCGCCACCCCTGCCTCAGAAGCACAAGGTCCTGAGTTTGTACCCTGGTACAGAAAAAAAAAGCAATACACTCTTTCAGAAACAGTGCAAGGGGACCTCTGGGTAAGTCACGGGCACATAAGCTTTTCTTTTTTTGGTGGTACTGGAGATTGAACCCAGGGCCTTCATACCGGAAGCAGCTCTAGAAGGCCTCATTCATGAGTGTCTTTAGTTGTGCTGTTGTGGTTGCCTTGAGATTCAGAATTTCTTGTAAACATTTACCTTTCATAGTCATTTTTACTTTGAGGAAGAGCCAAAAGTTGCATGGTACCAGCTCTGGTAAATAAGATGACACACCATGTGTTTATAAGCCTGCCTTCCATTGGATGGTACTTGGCAACCGCATTCACCATAATTTTTGATCACATCTCATAAAGACACAAAAGAAGACTTTCAGAACTGCTTCAGAAAGTAGCAAGATGGAGAGGAGGAGTGTGTTTGAGCGAGGGGAATGTTTTGAAGGGGATTAATGGCAATGTTTCTTTTACTACAGTAAATTTTTAAAAATTTTAAATATTCACCGAATATTTTGATCAGTCCTTGTAGCATGATACTGTGGAACTTGTAGACATGATTACAATCCCAGGGAAATTCACTCCCCAGCTATTGTTTGTAAACGTTAGGTAACATGGGGTATGTAAAGCTAGCCCATTGCTCAGTAAAGGGTAGGATTTCCTGAGTGGCCTTGTGTCCTGCCCCCAGTTCTCTTACCACTCTACCTGCCCAGTTGTCTGCCTGGGGTTATTGTGTGGTGATGTTCAACTGTTATTCATCATGAATCACCACTTTGTGGGAATTATACATCTAGGCTCCTTTAGGACAAATTGTAAACATAGTCAGGATCATAATATTGCTTGAACACTGTTCACACACTCCTCTGTTCAGAAACCCAGTGACTTTTGCGGAGGATTTTTATTTTCTCTTAGCCACAGAGGATTTGTTTCCAAAGTATATGTTTGATAATGTACCATTCTCTGGTTTAGGAACATAGTTTGGTTTTCTTGTGATACAATGTTTACCTACAAGGATTGATTCTAGCAGGAGATTTAGCTCAGTGGTTCTCCTGTCTGCCTCCCAAGCGCAAGGTCCCAAGTTTGATCCCTCGTACCAAAAAAAAAAAAAAAGTAATTTAAGGATTGATTCTGGAATAGTACTTGGCACTTTACAAAGCAGTTTTCATGTTGCCATTTCATTTACATAGTGACTGTCTGTGGTGGGTATCGTTATTCCTATATAGTCTGGGAAATGAAGGGCCCAGGAAGTTAGCCCACTTATAGTTAAATTGCTAGTAAGTAGCAAACACAGGGGTTGCTCATAGCTCCCATGACTCTAATAGGTTTTCTCTTTACTAACCAGGAGTCTGAGGCTGCAGTGCATAAGCCTGTGGAAGATGGTGTCTGTATAACCCTAAGAGTTCTTGAGTGATCTGAAGTTGTGTGTACAAGCTGGGGTCCTTGCTTGCTTCTCTTCAGAAAATGTCATAACTCTAGAAGGTTCTTTGAAAGGAGCCTGCCTTCCCCCTGCCCCAGCCTGGAGTCATTGCTAGCAGGTTTCGTTGTCAAAGGTCTAGTTTAGTTGGCTCTGTTTTCAGTAGATTTTATTTTTGTGCATAGATTCTTTTGTTTCTTTTTTTTTTTTCTGGTACCGGGGATCAAACTTGGGACCTTGTGCTTGCGAGGCAGGCGCCGGAACCGCTGAGCTAAATCCCTGGCCCCAGATTCTTTTGTTTCTGCATAGTCTATGTAGTAGTCTTTACAAATGTTGTTTTTAAGAAGTATTTCTGAGCATCTTTATTTATGTCTGATGTTCATACTTCCCTCCAGAAGAGCTGATAGTGCTTGAATTTAAAACTCTTCTAAAAGCCGTTTTTGTATTTGCTATACTTGATTTGTTTTTGACCATTACTTTTGAAAGACTGTATGTTACAGGAAACAGGATATTAGTACAAATTATGATTTTTTTTTTTAGAAAGGCTCACTATGTAGTTCAGGCTGGCCTTGAACTCACTGTGTAGCCCAGGCTGGCCTTGAACTCCTACCTCAGCCTCCCATGTGCCAGAATTACAGGTGTGTGCTCCCACGTAATTCTTGTAGAAAGAAGGAGGTATTGATTAATTTTCTCAGTATTACTTGTCTCTTCCTGTGAGATGTATAGCCAACATAGAGGAACTGGGGTGAAACTAGGATAAACCATATCAAATGGTAAGCTTCCCACATATTCTCATCCTCTTGGTTCCTATTAAAAAGGGGAGGAGGGGCCGGGGATTTAGCTCAGTGGTTCCATCGCCTGCCTCACAAGCGCAAGGTCCAAGTTTGATCCCTGGTACCAAAAGAAAGGCGGGGAAGAGGTCCTGGATGTGAACTTTTTCCTTTCCTTTCCTTCCTTCCCCTACATGAGATTTTTAGCCAGAGTGGCCTTGAAATCTTGGGCTCAAGGGATTCTGATTCTCCTGCCCCACCCTCCTGAGTAGCAGGGCCACTGTGCACACCCAACAATTCTTACATTTATTTATGTTTTATTTGTGTGCTGGGGATTTGAACCTGGTGTCTTGCACATGCTAGGCAAGTGTTGTACCACTGAGTTGTGCCTACCTCTGGATGCTAACTTTTATGTAGCTCTGGGGGATGTCTGATTAAGGTGCTGTTAGGCAGATTCTGGGATGAGAAAATCATCTCAGAGAAATCTACAGCTGGAGACTGTTTTTGAAATGGCCCAGTCACTCTCTGTGAGGGTCTCAGCATTCTGAGAGGTTGTTGACAGGAGTCAGAAGGCTGCATGCTGTGACCTTGCTGCTCTGCTAGTCACTTGGTGTTCCTGATTGGTAGATGAGAATGAGTGCCCTTGGAACCCATTGAATTCTTATATTTGTTCATTCCAGAGCCTGTCTTTGATTTTTTGAGAGTCATATTAGTTTTCTAAGGCTGCCATAACAAAGTACCACAAAGTTGATGGCTTAGACCAACAGAAATTTACCGTTTCATAGTTTTGAAGGCTACAAGTCCTAAATCTTGTAACATGATTCTCTCTGAAACTCTCTAGATGGAGATTTTTTTTCATTAAATTCTTTTATTGGTACATTCTAGGTATACAACACAATTACATTTCTCATTGGGAATTGTACCTTTACATAATGCATCTTGGTTCTTATTTTTTCCCCATTCCTAGCCCTCCCTTCACCCCCTCCACCCTTCCCTATTTACAAAGATTTTATTTCCATTTTTTCCATTTCTCATCATTTTTCCTTTCCCTTCTTTCCTTTCTCCTGCCCCTCCCACTACCCCTACCCCTTTGGACCTTTTCTTCCTATTTTGCATTATCAATTATTCATTCTAATCATTGGTACATTTTAGGTATACAATATAATGACATTCATCATTGGAAATTTGCACCTTTACATAGTCTCTCTTGGTTCTTATTTTTCACCCTTGCCCAGCCCTCCCTTCAACCCCTCCAGTCCTCCCTATTTACAAAGATTTTGTTCCTATTTTTCCATGTTCTCATATTAATCCCATTCCCTTCTATCCTTTCCCCTAGCCCTCCCACTTCCTTCCCCTTTGCCCCTTTTCTTCCTATTTCACATTACCTATTATAGATTTAGTCCTTGTTTACACTTTCAGTTTCTCACACCAGAGAAACTATTCCGTATTTACACATGTGTGTCCTATTTATTTCACTTAAGAGTATGGCCTCAATGTGCATCCACTTAGCTATAAATGTCTCTAATTTGTCATTTTTTATGGCTGAGTAGTACTCTAGATGGAGATTTTTTTTTGCTTGGCTCTTCCAAGCTCTGGTGCCCCAGGCATTCCTTGACTTGTAAGATTTCAGTGTCTGCCTCAGTCTTCACCTGGAGTTTTCCCTGTGTCTCTTCATGTTGTTTCTCTCTGTCTGTCTCTGTGTCCCAGTTCCCTTTTTTATTATACTAGTTACATTGAATTAGCCCATCCTAATGACCTCGTCTTAACTTGCTTGCCTCTGTGAAGACTCTGTCTCCAAGTAAGTTCACATTCTGAAGTTCTGGAATTTGGGAATTCAACTTATTTTTATGGAAGATAAAATGCAACCCACAACACATCTATCATTTATGTTTCATCTGTTTCAGCTTTATTTACTTCATACTTTATAAAACATTCTTGGTTTTTAAAACAATCATAACTTGCTGCGATACCAACTGACTTTTATACTTCTGTATGTATAGACTCCCCAGGAAATGAAGTGGAGCCTGTGTAGGAAGGAATATAATGAACTACTTACCTTTAATTATGTATCAGTCACTCAACAAATATCTGTTGGACTGTCTATATATTAAGTGCTAGTATTGTTCAGAAGTGGTCCTATTTTTGTTCTTTTGTATCTCTTGGTATTAAGATTATTATTTTGTATCTCTAGGTATTAAGATTTAAACATGACCCTTTTTTCTTTCTAGGGCTTTGCTGTAAAATGGGACTTCTAATTGTGCTCACTGGACTGTGGCTGTACTCCTCAGTAAAAGCAGATTCAAAAGCCATTACAACCTCTCTCACAACAAAGTGGTTTTCCTACCCACTGCTGTTAGAAGCCAGGTAAGAAGACCTTCTTTTCTTTCACATATTTGAATATAAATGTAGGCTCTTCCAGGAAATGAATGAATATTCGGCAGCTTTTAAGAATGAGATTATGATCTTCAGATATATTTATTAATGTGCTGTATAAAGGTTGTTAGGGCACAGAATCTTTCAGTAGGAGAGGGCTCTGTCGATGCAGAGAAGCTCAGGAACTTGGTTAGGCAAATATATTGAATTAGTTAAATTTTTATGTTATCTTCCAGAAAAAGTGTCAGTGTGGTTATAAGGGAAGACAGAATTGTATTTAAAAGAAATTGTCTACCAAAGTGAGGAAAGTTTTAAGGGATTTTTAATAAATGCAAGAGGAGAGAGCTTGGCAAGGCTGGGGAAAGAGGACATGAATCTCCCGAGAACCCTAGTAAAGACCCCATCAGAGAGGGCAGGAGGTGGCCGAGGGAATGACCAGATTTTTCTGTTCTGAAGTGCCTGTGTTCTGCACATAGCCTCTATAAAGTCAAATCAATAAATTAATATCTTAATTAAAATTGGTAGCACTTTTTGTAAAACAATTGTATATTTTAAATTTGATAAAATAAAATATAGTCAATGATTTCTTGGGAAATTTTCAATTCCAAGTGCGTTTTTTAGCTAGTGTTTATAATATACATACCATAGATATATCTTTTTTTTTTTTTCTTTTTCAGTATTGGGGATTCAACCCAGGGGCTTCACATTTAAGTTTCACTCACAGTGCTTTTTTCTTTTTCTTTTGAGATAGGGTCTCACTAAGTTGCCTAAGCTGGGTTCAAATTTGTATCTTCCTGCCTCAGCTTCTCAGAGTATTGGGATCACAAGCATTGACTACCGTACTTGGCTAAGATAACGCTCCACATAGCCAGTTTTATATTCTTATGCACAGAAATTTATTTTTATTATATTGCAAGTAATATATAGTTAGGATTTAAGGGAATCTTTCCAAAGGTGTAGTAGAGGAAATACTTCGCAGTGTTTGATACTAGAAATTTGAACTGTCAGGTCACTTCAGTTAACTTTGTGGTCTGTCTTTGATTCTTCAGCTTAGAATTTTGTCCTCTAACTTTTCTTCCTGAATTCCTTAAAACATAGGAATAAAGTGTTGTGTTGTGTTGGTTATGTGGGTAGTCGCCCTGCCAACGGAGAACCTCGGTTGGTGTGGGGGAGAGGACCTGTGGAAGCTGATCTGGACATCCAGGGCCTAGTGGACTTTCTGCTGAGCAGACTCCTTCCTTACTTCTCTGTGCCTCTCTCTGTTCAGCAATGAAATGGCAAAAGAAAAAGAGAATTCAGCCAGAACAAGTCCTAACACTGCTGTGTGCATTGTGTAGTGGGTTTACAGTAACTAATGTGATAGATGGGTTGAGCTCCTCAGGTACTTCGTTGGATTACAGAGTAGTTGTATAAGTGAAATGGCTGAGGGTCACTGGAAATCCTGGACTGCTTGAGCCAGGACTCTGGCAACTCATGTTTTGTTTTAATTTGCTTTTCCTTTTTGAAATTGTATATGGGATAATTTGGTGTAAATCTAATCCACTGAGATTTATTATCACTTTTGGAATAATTTTGAACAATTAACTGTAACAGATGTTTCATGATATCCTGCTTAACATTCTTAGCTGAGTTATATTTGACTTCACTCACTTGTATTGATGCTGACTAGTTTTTTGGAATTTAGTTTGTTCTGAAAGATTCTTATGATATATACCTATGGACATTTAAGAAAGAATGCCAAAGTTTTCAGCCCCAGTTTCTCAGGTTTTTTCAGTTGCTTTGATCACTGTGGAGTGGATAGGCTCTAAATTCATTTGCCAAATTCTATGTCACCTTTAAAGGAATCTGTAACATCCCTTTTCATGTCCCTGGTCATTGTTTTTAGGCCTCTGCTCTCCTGTGTCTTTTTGCAAACCTGTGGCCATGGTAGGGAGATTTGTAGGCAACTCAGGAAGGAGCTCTGCTTATTTGAAAGTACTCTGTACTTCCTTCCAGAGCTTTCGAAGGCTGCCATTCTTCTCCTGTGTCTGATGATGGCTTGTGGTTCTCTGTCCATCTGGGTAAAGATGAAGGGACAGAATCTTTCTGTACACGACAAGGCATGCAGTTATCATAGACCTTGTGGCAGGCTCATGTCTTAGAGACTAAAAATATTCCTGTGTACATTTTTAGATTGTGCTTCATTTACTAACTTTGTGCCCTTAAACAAGTCCATAATTTCTCTGAGTGGCTGCTTTTTTTTGAAAATGGTTATAACTGAGGGTGGTTGTGTGAATTTGTGGATACAGGTGAATGTGCTGAGCCCAGTGACTGTTACATTGAAGACTTTCCTTAGACAGTCCTTTCCCTTCCCCTTTGAGCCCTGTTCAGAAGAGTTCCTATTCTTATATCACAGTAGCTTTAGAAAGTTTACCATTGGATTTGTGCTACCTAGTGGACATTCAGGTTATTTGTAGGATTTGGCGGGGGGCAGTGGCGGGGAAGTCATAAATGACAAGCTTTATTATGACTTTTCAAAAGGTTTATATATGGAGACAGTGGTATAATATGCTCTCCACATCCCCATCAGTCACTTTTTTTTCCCTGATACTGGAGATTGAACCCAGGGCCTTTGTATTGAACTGCATCCCAGCCCTTTTTATTTATTTGTTTTTCTGAGACAGGATCTCACTAAGTCACTTGAATTTATGATCACCCTCTTCAGCCTCAGGTGTGTGTCACCACACCCAGCTCACCAGTCACTTTGAACAGTTACCAGTCCCAGTACGGTAATCACCATCAGCCTCTCCCCTACCTCACTGGCATATTTTAAAGGAACTACTTATATTATGTAATTTTATCTGTAAAACTACAGAGTTTTACTCAGAGGCAAAGGTATAAGAAGCTAAGAAACAAAATAAAAATGCAGAATTAATTATACTATGAAAGAAATAGTAGTGTTCCTTTTTCATGATGTCGTCCATTATTCTCCTCTTCCCTGGATTTCTGTGAATTTAGTGGTTAATTTTCTTAAGACTGTTCTCAGCTTAGACTTATAAGACTTATTATGTAGTGGGATGAAAAAAGAATTATGGTTCAAGAAATTTTCCTATAGGAAAAACATGTATTTAGCCGGAGTGAGTCTCTTCTCACCATAACTAAAGAATATGTCATCCCCTTCTGCTAACTTATCTTGTTAATGTGGCTTCAGCTTATGAATTTAGTGTTTATTTGGACATCGTGACTCAGAACATGTTTTCTTAAACTGTAAACTATTTTACAGTTACTCTGAAATTTATGTGAGTTACTAGAAAGTCTAGAGAAATACAGAGGCATTAAATAATTAAATACATTATGATAATGGATATTTTCAGAAACCTGTTTTTAGGGAAGCTGTGGATTACCAGGAAATGTTTCTTATTTTTCCCATATTTCTGTGTCTAGCTGTGGAGTAGAGTGAGAGTTGTACACCCCAGTGTTGACAAGTAATGGGAAAGTCTTCCTTTGGCTAGGTAAGCTGAGATCCAGATCTGTAGTTTGCTTTAAGACAGTGAAAGATCACCACTATATTAGTTCTCTGGCTTGGAAGTGAAGATAACCAATTTATGTGAATCACTTACTCAGTTATTACAGACATTTTCTTTTAGGGATTTTAGACTCCTGAATGAAGGCGAATTCAGAATGGCTATCATTTTAGGTTAACAGTGAAAAGTGGAAAAAGATTAAGATGATATGAACATTTTAGATCTGATTTTGTTAGATCAGTATTAATTTTACATAAATCTAATGATCTTGAAAATTTAGATTTATGGGTGTGAAAAAATTGTAACATGCTTCCTTTAGCCTCCTAGAAATTTTTCTAGGGTTTATATTTACTGTGGGAGAACCTTTAGGCAAAACATGTTTTTTGTTCTTTGTAAGGTCTTTCAGAAAATAAGCAGAACTACTACTAGAATTATTAATTCCTAATTCTGCTTCCACCACTGACAGCATTTTTGTTAATGGGCTTTAGAAGCTTTTTTTAAATATTGGAACTTCCTTGTTACAACATTTTTATTATTTCAGGTGTCTTAAATAGCTGTGAAGTGAATATACTATTAAGTTAATAAGTTATTAATAGCTAACAAACTAGTAAGACTTATCTTTAAGAAAGACATACATTATACATAAAAAGTATAATATATATATATATAAATTAAAAGCCAAATTGTGGACATTTGGAAACTTCAAAACCTTTTTATTCTCTATAGTAATATGGTTTACATTAAAATATTTTATTAAGTTTTATTTCTGACATTTCCTCCTTTTCTCTCAGTGAGTTTTTAGCAGAAGACAGTCAAGAGAAATTTTGGAATTTTGTAGAAGCCAGTCAAAATATTGGATCATCAGATCATCACGGTAAAATTGAAGCAAATGCTTCTTTGACTTTGATGTCTGGGAAAATATTAGAAAAATGTTCTCTTTTATAGTATGTGTGATGTGGCAGTTAATGGAAAGCATTTTTTTAGTCTTAAATGACTAGAGTTGCAATGCTAGCCAGGAAGAGCCAGCACAAACCAAATACTGTGATCATTTTAGACACTAGAGGTTGACTCAGGGCCTCAGGCAAGTTAAGCATGTGCATTATCATAGAACAGTGCTCTAAGCTCTAAAAGACCTACAGTACTAGGGATAGAACACAGGGGTGCTTTACACTGAACTACATTTCCACCCCTTTTTATTTATTTTGTGACAGGGTAGTTGCCCAAGCTATCTTAGATTTTGTCATTCTCCTGCCTCTGCCTCCCAAGTAGCTGGGATTACAGGTGTGTGCCACCACATCTAACTCCAATTATTTATTTACGTATTTATTTAGATACTGGGGATCAAACTAGGACCTTGCACTTGCAAGGCAGGCACTGTGCCACTGAGCTAAATCCCTGGCCCTCCAATAATTATTTTTTAAGGAAATGAGGTCTTAATATGTTGTTCAGGCTGGCCCTGAACTCCTGGGCTCAAGCTATCCTCCTGGCTCACCCTTCCAAGTAGTTGAAACTACAGGCATAAACCACTATACCCATTCCCAAATAATTATTTCTGATGCAGTTTGTAACTTTGGCTATAAGTAGTACCCTCCTCCCCCTCATGTTTTCATTGTTGTGTTCTTTTATTAAAGTGCTATGTGAATATTTTGTGGAAGTACATTTTATTTTAAATCATTTGGTGTTCGCTTAATATCCATCTGATTTAATTCACCCTTTCTTTTGTTATGAACTAATTACTCAACTGATCTATTATCTGTTAAGCATGTTGTCATTAAGATAGTGCCATCCAGAATGTGTTCCATTATGCCTGCTGGCCACTCACAACTTGAGTGTCAAGGTACCAAATCACTGCCTGGCTTAACTGTTTAGGTTTTATAAAAATAATACATATTTTAATAGTTGTCTGTATGTTTTTTGTGTGATTGAAATACCTAAAGGTTTCAAATAAGCATCTTTAAGTTTTGGTTATATAATTTATAGTCAACTAGAATTGTTTAAGTTATCAAAAAACCATTTTACTTTTTAGATTTCATGGAACAGATTTATCATAGAGTCTTAAGTGAAATTTGAACAGTGATATTTAAAGTGCAATTTCAATATAAATGATATGTATTCTTTTTTTTTTTTTTTTTTTTGGTACTGGGGATTGAACTCAGGACCTTGTGCTTGTGAGACAGGTGGCAGAACCATTGAGCTAAATCCCTGGCCGTATATATTCTTGATTAAAATTAGAGGAGTATGAATTCTTGGAGAAGTGTATGTTAAACATTTTATTATTTGAAATTTATTATTTGTATTCTTACCACTCAAAGTTTCACGCCATTAATATTTTGACAACATTTTGAGTTATTTCTTTTCTTTTCTTTTTTATTTTTTTGGTACTCGGGATTGAACTCAGGACCTTATGCTTGTGAGGCAGGTTACAGAACCACTGAGCTAAATCCCTGGCTTGAGTAATTTCTTTTCTAGTTTTTTGTTTTTTTATGTAGAAAACGCTAATGCAGTATAGAACCTTTTATATTCTGTTTTTAAGAATGTTGATACTTTTAAAAGTAAGGATTTTTTTTTTTTGAGTAGCTAGTATGTGATTCAGAAGTGAAAGCTAGATAAAAGGCTATACACAGAAAAATCTTTTTCCTTCTTGGTCCCTATTTCTTGTTTCTTTTCTTGCCTTTTATAAGCATTTTTAATTAGTTTACCCTGCAGTATTTTTTACAGCATATCCATATATGCAATATGGATACACATACACACGTATAATATACATATTCTTATTTCTCATTCTTTTGGTTAAAAAGATAGCTTATTATGTACATTGTATATCTTACATTTTTCATTTACCTGAGGATTTTTTTCATGCTAGTATGTCGATTTTTTTCCCCCTTTCATATAATTTGGTTCAACTTTTTATTTAAATACTTGTTAAACTTTATGGTTTTGTCAGTACCTTTTAATATCTTGTACTTCCTCATCCCACTGTTAATTTTTTAAAGTTACTTCAGTAGATAACATATACTTGGTATCAAAGATACAAAGATAAATAAGTCATAGCCTCTACCTGTAGGGGCCCAAAGCCTTGGGTGGTAGATAGATAGTGAGTAAATCATTTAGTAAATGATAGAAGTGAAAGGTGAGCAGAGAAGTATTCTGGGATTCAAGAAGAGATGTCACTATTGTAGCATTTGGTAGGAATCAGGGTGACTTCCTGGAGTAGGTGATTTCACAGCTGAATTCTTCCTTTGGGAATAGGTAGGTGGGTATCCAGGTAACTGGGAAAGCAGCAGTTCAGGGGAAGGGAATAGTTTGAGCAAAGGGAGAAAGAAAGGAAATGTCCAACTGCAATCTATATGGAGGAAATTTTGAACATTTGACAAAAGTTCAAGACAATATACTGGTAAAATTTTGCAGTCACATACCTTTGTAACCTATATATTTATGAACTGTTTTATTTGGATAGCTCTAGTTTTATTGAGTTATTTGGATTAATGTTCTTTCTTGACAGGTACTAATAATTATTCCTATTATCATGCAATATTGGAAGCTGCATTTCAGTTTCTATCACCTCTACAGCAGAATTTGTTGAAATTTTGTCTGTCTCTTCGTTCCTACTCGGCCACAATCCAAGCCTTCCAGCAAGTAAGTCCAGTGCTTCTAGACAATAGCATTTTGTAAGGTATATGACATGATGATGATGGGGTACATTGCAGTTGCCATGGAATTGAATTGCAGAATTGTCACTTTTTTTTCTGGGATTTATGATTTATTTTAAGATAATAAGTAGAACTGATGTTAAGTGTCCAAATCACAGGTTTTTTAAAATTTTATTTGTTTTTTTTGTACTGGGGATTGAACTCAGGACCTTGTGCTTGAGAGGCAGGCGGTGGTACCACTGAGCTAAATCCTCGGCCCAGTTTTTTATTTTTGTTTTTGTTTTTTAATTTTTTTGAGACAGGGTCTCACTGTGTCCAGGCTGGCCTTGAACTCACTGTGGAGCCCAGGCTGGCTTTGAACTCATGGTGACCTTTCTGCCTCAGCCTCCCAAGTGCTGGGATTGCAGGTGTGCACAGCCCCAAATCACAGATTTTTAAAGATATAATTTGTACTTATTTTCATATAAGAAAAGGAAAGAATAACTACACAAGAAAGAGACAACCGCTTTGTTTGTGCAACACATATTGTTTCTTACTACACCAGTGAACTTGAATCTGGTCACAACCTTTAGAACTAAAAGCAGTTTTCCAGGAAATACAGCAGGTGGAAAGTGTCAAGCAGCATCACAGGGATGCAGTCAGGAAAATCTAACTTCAGGGAAACTGCTGTCAAGTGATCTGGTTTCAATAAATAAATAATAAGAGGAAAAAAAGGGACAGAGCAATTTCAGATCAAGAGAGACTTCAAAAATGTGTCAGCACAGTACAAGGATCTTGTTTGGATTTTGAGAAAGTGATTTTCTTCATGGACCATATTTTTTGAGCACATACTTGTGATGCAGTTAACTTATTCCTCTCTCCTCACCTTTCTCCAAATTGGCAGCGGGGTCCAGAGGCTTCATCCAAAAGGGATTTCTTCCCTTTGGCAAATCTATAGGTAGTGCTATGTTCTTCCATTTCCTAATTTCTGATTTATTCATATTCATTCATATTCTTCCCCCAACCCCTGATTTAGCAGCCATTATTGCTTAATTCCTAATCTAATTCTTTGGGAAATATAAAGTGATGACTCAGTCTGGCAGTCATTATTCATTTGTTTCTGGAACGTGGACATAAAGAAGCACATTGCCTCAGCTAAGCGTGATGGCGCACGCCTGTAATCCTAGCACTTGGGAGTCTGAGGCAGGAAGATCGCCACAAGTTTGAGGCCATCCTGGGCATATAGTGAGTTTTGGGTCAGCCTGAACCACATAGTGAGATTCTGTCTGAAAAGACCACAACCACAACCAAAACCAAAACCAAAACTAAAACCAAAACCAAGTAAAACAAGAAGCACATAGCCTCATTATTATTTTTGGTGATATTGTTCTCATAGGAAAGACAGAACACACGCTCAATTCTTTGCCTTTATTTCACAGGATTCTAAATTTGATTTATTAGCATCCTTTGACTATTTAAGTTTTTATTTCATCTTTATTATGTTAAATACATTTAGCATTTAACATAATGCTTACTGTCGTAACCATTTTAAGTGCACAAATCAGTGATTTTAAGTGCATTCATCCATCTTCAGAACTTTTTTCATTTTGGGAAATTGAAGCTATACTCAAAATCCCCCCCCACCCCCCCATTTCCCGTCCTTTCTTCTTCCACATACCTTGACAACTGACCTTCTATGTTGTACCAATGAATTTACTTGTTCTGCATACCTCATATGAGCAGTCTTTAACATTTGTCCTTTCGTTATTTGGCTTGTTTCACATAGCACGATGTTTCTAAGGTTCACCATGTATAGCAAGTATTGCCATTTTACTCCTTTTTTGGCCAAGTAATATTCATTCCATTATATTTATCTCACATTTTATTTATCCATTCTTTCCCTAATGAACATTTGGGTAGACTTCACTTTTTGGCTATTGTGGATAATATTGCTATGGCACATTAGTGTACACTTACCTGATTGAGTCTCTGCTTTTCTTTTCTTTTGGGTTTTTACATAGGAGTGTAATTCCTGTGTCATATGGTAAGTTTATGTTTAACTTTTTAAGGAACCAACACTGTTTTGAGTGGCTGCACCATTTTAAATCCCCAATAGTGGGTATCTTTATTACTTGTGTTTAGAGCCCTTATGGAGTGATTGCTTCTCAGAGATATCTTCCAGATATAGCTGGTGTTTTTAGGCTTTGACTCTAATGACTCTTAGGCAATCTCGTTTTCCATTTACCAGAGAGGGCAACTGATTAGATCAATCACGACACCTTAGCCCAGTTGCTACAATCAGCAACAACAATAGCATCAAACACAACTTAGAAAATGACAGTATGTGGTAGCAATTATTAATCTGTTACCTTTAACCGTGTGAGCTAGATCAAAGTCGAGGACCAGGCCAAAAAATGTTTGTAGTAAATAAACTCTTCAATATAGCAAATTTACCCTTTGGAATAAGGATTTAGAAGAGGTTGGGGAGGGAGGGATAGAGAGATAGAAGGAGAGGAAAAGGTTAGAAATGAGGCTAGAGGACACAGGAAGATCACGCAAATTTTGGGAGACCGTTGAAGACAAGAAGAAAAGACAGGGTGAAGGAACACTGACAAGAACAGAATAAACTAACAGCCATAGGGAAGCTAGAAACTATTCATCTTCCTATAAGAATAGTGACAGTCGAGAGAAGGGAAGAGAGAGAAAACAATCCGAAATAGGACAGGAGCAGGAACAAAGAGGGAGAGAAATGCAGAACAAGAAGGGAGAGAGAGAAAAAGAGAAAAGAAAAAAGAGGAAAAAAAATATATTTTTTATATATATATATATATATATATATATATATATATAAAGGGCCTCCCTCAGGGTATGTCTCTGTTGTCCTGGTAGACAATGTGGGCAGCAGTAGGCAGATCTAAGTCTCAGCAAACCAGCTTTAGTTCATTTAGATTCAGGCTGATTTCTGGTTGCAAGGCCCAAGTTGAGGTCCCTGACTTCTTGCAGGATTGAACTCTGCAAGGTTCTACTGCAGGATCCAGCTGTCCTTATCCCTTAGTGAGCCGGGGTTTCTATGGGAGGTGCTAATCCCACCAATTTACCAACCATGGTGGTCCAGTGTGCCCTTTAATTGCAAAGATTTTCTTCACTTTCCCAGTAGGCTTCAACTTTCATTGAAGACCTTCAGACAGACCCTGTCTCTGTTGCTCACTTCTTCTCTATCTTCTAACCATGGCCTTTATGGGCCCTTGGTGCCTGTGCAGTGCAGATTCATATATGGTGCGGGCCGGCCAGCAAGCTCCGGGCCCACGCAGCGAGCTCCTTTCTAGGTGTGCCTTAAATCCCCAGTAGTAATACACAAGGGTTCTAATTTCTTCACATCTTCCCCAGCATTTGTTATTTCCTGATTTTTAATATTGACCATTCTGATAGGTGTGACATAGTATCTCATTAAGATTTTTTTTTTTGGTACCGGGGATGGAACTCCAGTCCTTGTGCTTGCGCAGCAGGTGGCAAAACCATTGAGCTAAATCCCTGGCCTGTAATTTTGATTTACATTTCTGTAATTTTTGTTTTCTTTTTGGTACTGGGGATTGAACTTTCGGGATCTTGCGCTTTCGAGGCAGGCGGTGGCACCACTGAGCTAAATCCCTGGCCCAATTTTTTTTTTTTTTTTAAACAGGGTCTCACTATGTACTTCAGACTGGTGTTGAACTCACTATGTAGCCCAGGGTGGCTTCAAATGCGCCGTGGTCTTCCTGCCTCTCAGCCTCCCAAGTGCTGGGATTACAGGTGTGCGCCCCCATGCCCAACTTCTCCTTAATGATTATTGTTGTAGAGATCTTTTTATATACCTAGCGGTCATTTGTACATCTTCTTTGGAGAAATGTCTATTCAATGCCTATGTACATTTTTAAGTTGAGTTGGTTGGTTTTTGTTAAGTTGTAGGAATTCTTTATATATTCCGGGTGTTAGTCCTTATGAAATTTTTCAGATATGTAATTTTCAAATATTTTTTCCCATTCCATGAGTGGGTTGCCATTTTACTCTGTTGATTTGATAGTATCCATTGATGTAGAAGAGTTTTTAAAGTCCAATTTATCTTATTTCATTCTTTTATTGCCTTTTGATGTCACATCCAAGAAATCATTGCCAAATCCAAGGCTTCCAAAATTTCTTCCTAGGTTTTCCTCTGAGAGTATGTAGTTTTAGCTCTTGTTTATGTCTCTGATCCACTTTGAATTAATTATTGCATATGGTATAAAATAAGGATCCGACTTCACTCTTTTGCACATGAATATCTGTTTTCCCCAGTACAGTTTGTTGAAAAGACAGCCTTTTCCCCATTGAATCAAGTTGGCAACCTTGTCAAAAATCATTTTATCTCATATATAAGTGTTTATTTCTGGACTCCTATTCCATTGTTCTATATGTATGTCTTTACTTTTAGTACCACAGTGATTGCTGTAACTTGGTAATCAGTTTGGAAATTAGGAAGAGAGTCCTCCACTAAGTTCTTTTGATGCCATCTTACCATTCTTTGATTGTGTACTTACTATTTGGTATGTTAAGAAGTTTCAGGATCATTCTGTAAATCTCTGGCTCTAGATTTGCAATCAGCTATTTCTCTATGTGTGTGTGTGTGTGTGTGTGTGTGTGTGTGTGTGTGTGTGTGTGTTGGGGTTAAGGGAATGATTTTGGTTTTGATTTTGGTGCTAGAAATGGTACCCAAGGGCTTATGCATGTGCTCTACTACTGAGCTATACATACCGCCAGCTCCTAGGGAATGGTATTTTAAAAATACAATCTAGTCACTAGGGATATTCATTGCTAATGAGTTGGTCATTGTTTTTAGGCCTTTTAAGTGGGCAGAGATCGGCAATAACTATGTCTGTATCTTAAGACAAAATATATATAATGCTGTGTAAAGATGATAGACTGTGATCTCACACTGATATTTTCAATTTAGATTCAGGACT